GCATCATTTTTGGCCCCACCTCCAGATCTTGAGTTGAACCTGTGTCTGTGTCTCCTGAAGATGAACCCTTTCACTCAGACTCACTCTCTGCTCCCCCCCCTCTCTCTCTCTCTCTCTCTCTCTCTCTCCCTCTCTCTCCCTCTCTCTCTCTCTCTCTCTCTCTCTCTCTCTCTCTCTCTCTCCCTCTCTCTCCCTCTCTCTCTCTCTCTCTCCCTCTCTCTCTCTCTCTCTCTCTCTCTCTTCTCTCTCTCTCTTCTCTGTGAGGGTCCCGCTCTCAGGGTCACTTCATGTCCTGAACTGTTACTGGATTTACAGTCTTGGTTTCTGAAGCTCCTCCTCCTCCTCCTCCTCCTCCTCTTCTGTTGGCCCTGTCTGTTTAGTCACCTCGTACCTGTCCATTGCCGTAGTGATGTAGGTTGTAGGCGTGGGTAACCTTCCAGTCCACTTCTAAATATAAGGCGTCACAAACTCATGTGAAAAGTGGGGTGGTGAGACAAAACATGAGATAACTAAAAAAAAAAATGGCGTCGGCATCATTTTTGACCCCACCTCCAGATCTACGAGTTGAACCTGTGTCTCCTGAAGATGAACCCTTTCACTCAGACTCACTCTCTGCCCCCCCCCTCTCTCTCAGGTGGCCTCAGGTTCTGGTCCGGCCTCGTCCTCGGCGCCCTCATCACGCCAGCAGCTGCGTCAGCGGATCACCCGCGTTAACCTCAGGGACTTCATCTTCTGTCTGGAGCAGGACCGGTCCACGGCCCGCTCTCTGACCCTCTACAAGGCTCTGCTCAAATGAGGAGGAGCCCCCCCTGGAGGACTGCCGGGCCCACTGCAGACCACGGACCGGGTCACTCTTCATCCTCAGACTCTCACACCCTCAGAGGGGTCGGATGTGGGGGGCCCGGTTTGAACTTCAGTCTGAGGGGACGGTTTTAGATGATCCAGGAGCCCGGCTTCAGTCTGCACATGAACCTTCACCTCAGGTCTCCTCAGAGTGGACTCTGTCCCACAGAAGATCCAGCTCAGAGAGTGGTCCACAGTGAACAGGGGGGGTCCTCTCTGGGTATCTGGGTCAGTTCTAGGAGAGGGTCTCTGCTGAGGTGAATAATGTGCAGATCTGGATCCAGGTTCTGTTTTCAGACTGATGAGCTGGTCCAGGGCGTACCTGAGCAGGTGCCTTCACAGTCTCTTCCTTTCCCGTGTCTCTGATCTGCCCCCCCCCTCCCCGCTCTGAGGACCCTGAGATCCCGGAGCTCCTGAGTTTTTTTTAAAGTTCACGTCGTAATTTTTCCTGCAGAGTTTGAGAATCATGGTGGATCAGAAGACCCATGAAGGAGGATCATGTCCATGAGTGTGTGTGAGACTGCCTGAGTCCATGAGTGTGTGAGAGACTGCCTGAGTCCATGAGTGTGTGCGAGTCCATGAGTGTGTGTGAGTCCATGAGTGTGTGAGAGACTGCCTGAGTCCATGAGTGTGTGTGTGAGTCCATGAGTGTGTGTGAGTCCATGAGTGTGTGAGAGACTGCCTGAGTCCATGTGTGTGTGTGAGACTGTGTGAGTCCATATGTGTGTGTGAGAGTCCATGAGTGTGTGTGTGAGTCCATGAGTGTGTGTGTGTGAGTCCATGAGTGTGTGTGTGTGAGTTCATGAGTGTGTGTGTGAGTCCATGAGTGTGTGTGAGACTGTGTGAGTCCATGAGTGTGTGTGAGACTGCCTGAGTCCATGAGTGTGTGTGAGAGTCCATGAGTGTGTGTGTGAGTCCATGAGTGTGTGTGAGACTGTGTGAGTCCATGAGTGTGTGTGAGACTGCCTGAGTCCATGAGTGTGTGTGTGAGTCCATGAGTGTGTGTGTGTGAGTCCATGAGTGTGTGTGTGTGTGAGTCCATGAGTGTGTGTGTGTGAGTCCATGAGTGTGTGTGTGTGAGACTGCGTGAGTCTATGAGTGTGTGTGTGAGTCCATGAGTGTGTGTGTGAGTCCATGAGTGTGTGTGTGTGAGACTGTGTGAGTCCTTCAGTGTGTGTGAGACTGCCTGAGTCCATGAGTGTGTGTGTGTGTGAGACTGTGTGAGTCCTTCAGTGTGTGTGAGACTGCATGAATCCATGAGTGTGTGTGTGTGAGACTGTGTGAGTCCTTCAGTGTGTGTGAGTCCATGAGTGTGTGTGTGAGTCCATGAGTGTGTGTGTGAATCCATGAGTGTGTGTGTGAGTCCATGAGTGTGTGTGTGAGTCCATGAGTGTGTGTGAGTCCATGAGTGTGTGTGTGAGTCCATGAGTGAGTCTTCACAGGAGGGAGGAGCCTAACAGTCAAAGGAGCAGTTCAGCATTTTTACACACACCCAGAGTCCAGGTCAGCAGAAAGACCGGGTCAGGTGGGGTCAGGGAGCCCAGCCAGGTGGTTAAAGTTGACAGCTGGACTGGATTGGACCCCCCCCACACACACACACACATTACGCTAAGCTTAGCTGACCTAGCCTCCTCCTGGTCTGGTTCCCGGTCCAGAGTAAAACCTAGCCTGAGATGCCCCCCGGTCTTTAACCTCAGACTTAGACCCGTCTCTTTTTCTTGGTCTGGTCCTCATGCTGGTCTGTGCTGGACCTGTTTCTTTCTCTAATGCCAAGCGGGTCCTCACCTGGTCTGGTTTCTAGTTCCTGGTCTTTGATTTCTGAAGGTCTTGATCCTCAGAGCTCAAGTCCAGGTTCTCAGAGTCATGGTGGTCCTGCTGATAACGGGTCTTAAGCTCAGGACTACAGCTGTGTGAAAGAACCAGAACCAGAACCAGAACCAGCAGTTCTCGTGATGCTAAGCTAGCCTGAGGACCAGCATATGGGAGTGAGACCTCAGAACTCTCAGTGAGACCCCCAGATTGAGCCCCAGACTAAGACCCAGACTGAGACCCAGACTAAGACCCGGACTGGATTAAATGTTGAACTGCTCCTTTAAAGACCACCTCTCACTTTCTTCATTTCTGCTGTTTTTAACACGGAGCCGGTTCTCCTCCAATCAGCTGATCACCTCAGACCACATACAGACTACACTCCTCCTCTTCCTGCTCTTCATCCTGGCTCCTCCCCTTTTCTCTCCGGTCTGACCCGCCTCCTCCTGGACCCGGTTCTGAGTGTGTGGGTTCAGTTTTATCTTGTGAGAGTTTGAAGCTGGTTTTTGGGACAGGTCCGATCCCTGAAGGTTTTTAACGCTTTAATCGTCTTTCCCTCGTCATACCCGATCCTCTCCTGCCCGGTTCTGGATCCGGTCCCGTCTTTTGGTCTCGGGTCTGTTCGGTCTGTAGCTCCACCTGCTGACTCGGCGCTGTGCTGGACCTTCTGTATATTCGCTCACAGGATCACCGTCAAGGAAGGATGAATTTTTGGGACTATTTATATTTCCTACATTCTGTATTCAACCCTGACGCATTTCAGGCAATGCAATTTTACAGTCGTTTGTACCTTTGCAAAAAAATGAAATAAAGAAAATGAGAAAGAAGTTCGGAGTCGTGGTTTTAGTTCAGTTTGTACAAAAACACTCAGAGACACAGAGACGGCCGACAAAGACTTTCAATCTAGAAAAACAGCAGGTTATAAAAACAGGATTAAATTATCAAAACAGGACTTTATCAAAACAGAGTCTGAGAGCAGGGCCCAGTTATCCAGGAGGAGGAGGAGGAGGAGGAGGAGGAGCCAGACCTCCTCCTGAAGGGGCAGCAGGAACTCAGGAGGCGGAGCGGTCGTCACGGTAACCAGAAGGTTGGCAGTTCCATTCCCCCCATCCCGAGTGTGTGTGTGTGTGTGTGTGTGTGTGTGTGTGTGTGTGTGTGTGTGTGTGTGTGTGTGTGTGTGTGTGTGTGTGTGTGTGTGTGTGTGTGTGTGTGTGTGTGTGTGTGTGGTCGGAGAGGCTGGAGGTGCGAACCTGAAGCTGTAACTCCTGCGGTATTTTACCACCACCGAGGTGAGACAGGAGAGACTGTGCCCCCCTTTAAGGATCAGGTCTAGGAGTCCTTCATCTTATAGTCCTGATCGGGGGGGGGGGGGATTCGCTCTTCTGAGAATCTAAAACCGAGACCACCACTGTTAGCTTTGATGCAATAACGCCACACGAGGGACACGAGGGACACGAGGAGTCCCAGAACGCTAACCCACAATTTTCAATTTTCACCGCATCCTGAACGACTTCGATCTGGCAGAGATCTTCACTGTCCGCCGACTCCTACCGGATCTGTTTGTGAGGCGGATTTACCTGCAGATTCACGTTCAATAACGAGTCGTCTCTCTAAAGACAGACACATAGACATATAAGCAGTAGATTGTGTCCTTCCAGAGGAGGAAATCTACTTCTAGACTTCTAGAATCAGCATCTCCTGGAAAGAAGTCGGTGTAAATCGACACGTTAACTTGAATGGTTACGATCAGCTACGATCGGAGGATACGACCTTTTAGGAGACGATCAGGATGAAGGTGGAGGTCGGGGGGTCAGCTGTGTCCCGGTCCAGGGACCGCAGCCCTCAAAGTCCTCATTGGAGGACCCAAGGTGTCACTGCAGCAAGTCAAAAGTTGTCCACAGACGCCGACTAAAGCGTCCTGTTCTGGTCGAGGCAGCATCAGGTGCGTCCTTCAGAGCCGCACATTTCCCAGAATTCTCTGCACTCTAATAAAACCCAGAAACATCGGCAGGGTAGCGGTTAGCACGATCTGACCGAGACCCTGGACCGGGACACAGATAAGGGGCGGGGTGAATTTTCAGAGCGCGAACCGCACAAACCGGGCGAATCAGACGTGAGAATGACACAAATTTACGACGCCGCTAACACGCCTTCGCTTCGTTCAGTTACGGAAGAGGGCTGAGAGTCTGAACGGCGTTGTGGTCGGATGATCCGGTACCCTCACAGAGTGACACCCCCAACCATGTTTGATATAAGCAGACTGAAGCGGTGTGAAGGAAGCCCCGCCTCTCTTGTGTAAATTAGCGTGTTTGGGCGCTCGTCTGGACTAGTGAGCGGACCCAAAACCCTGAGGCGGTCAAAAACACGCCAACTGAGAACGCCAATCATTTTATTTCCTGGTGTGAACGCGGTCGAGGTCGTGAGGATCTATCAGGGCGGATTTTGGCGCCCCCTGTAGACCAAGTGAGCTCTGGTGATCTGGATCTTTAAAGTCTGGATCTGGATCAACTACCTGATCCTGATTGAAGATACAGGATTTTCAAAACCGGGTCATCCTGATCCAGATTTACCTTTTGGAATAACTGGGCCCTGATTCTGAATCAATCACATCTGATCCAAACGGACGCTCTGCAGAGGTCAGAGGTCAGAGGTCAGAGGTCAGAGGTCACCTCAGCTCCGGCGGTCTCTGAGTTCCTCTCCAGGTTCTGCAGATGCTGCAGGATCCAGATGTGAACAGTTTCTGGTGGTTCTGTTTAGTCCAGAGGTTCCTGTTTGATCCGGATCGGGGTGCTCGTGATGGACTGGCTGTGCCGCAGGTCCCGGCACAGGACGTACTCGCTGAACTGGGACGAGTCCACGCCGCCGCCACACGACGCCTTGATGCTGAAACCTTTCTGAAAGAGACGCTCCAGGACCTGAGGACACAGACGGACAGGGTCAGGGTTCTGAGTGTGGAGGTGCAGTACCCTCTGATGACCAGCAGGACCACAAGGGTCGGCTGTCTGCCATCAGCTCCAGGTGTGACGGACAGGTGAGTTCTGGGTACGACTTCTTTTTACTGTGGGATGGTAGGGGAAGGTCCCGCCTCCATCGCCTCTGATTGGCTAGAAAAGCTGGAAACATCATCACATGCTCAAGCTGAGCGCGGGCCGTCGGTTCTGAACATCGAACAGAACTTTACAGAACATGATTCTGAACCTCCAAACCGACGACAGACGACGACGTTTCACAGCCGGAAGAAATTCTGACCAATCAGAGGCGAAGGAGGGCGGGACCTTCCCCCTGTGTGTGTGTGTGTGTGTGTGTGTGTGTGTGTGTGTGTGTGTGTGTGTGTGTGTGTGTGTGTGAGCGCTCACCTGTACAGAGTTGAGCCTGCAGTACCCGTTGAGGGGGAAGCGGATCACGTGGGTGGGGTCCTGGTTCCAGCCGGCGTTGACAGAGTTGCACATGACGTCGCCGGTCTCCGGGAAGACCTCCTCAATCAGAACTTTCTCTCCACTCAGGGCGATCCGCTCGCCAAGGTCAGGGGTCACTCTGACCACGAGACACTCGCAGGGCGCCGTTCGCTGGGCCTCCCGCTCCGCCTGCCAGCGCTCCAGCTCTCGAACCATCGGGGTCAGCTGGTAATAACGAGCCTCCTCGTACAGCTGGGGGAAGTCCTAATGAAGACAGAGAGGGGGCGGAGCCAAGCTCAGGTAAATACTGCAGGAGGACCAGGTTACAACAGAGGACGGTCACATGACTGACACACGGGTCTCAGTGGAGCGAACACTTGGACACGAGGGTTCGGGTTCGAGTCTCTCAGTCAGTCCTCAGGTCCTGCCTGCAGGTTTTCATTAAATGGGCGGAGCTAACTGACGTCCAACAACACGAAAACACGAGAGAGAGAGAGAGACGTGACTTACACTGCTGTCTCAGTCTGTGTCTCCTATCTCTGTCTCCTGTCTCCTTGTCTCCTGTCTCCTTTTCATTCACACCAAAATTTCACCAAATTTGACTTTTTCATTTTACAAGAATTTTGTCAAATTTTTGACTTTTTTTTTTAATTCCGACTTTATTCAGAAATCTGAAAAAACTTCAAACTCTTTCAAAAATATTCCAAAGTTTTTTAGAATTTTTTTCCACTTTAGAAAGTTTTAAAAAGAGAATATTTCTGTATTTTAAAGTCACTTTTGCTAAAAAAATAAAAAAAACTTTAATTTTTCTATATAGACTATAAAAAAAAGGTCAAATCTTAAATTTTTGAGTCGAACTTTTTTTCATTTTTCTGATTCTGGTCAGTTTCTTCTTTTTGTCTTTAGAAATCTGAGAAAAAAAACAGATTTTCTAGAATAAACTCAGACTTTTTAATCTCAATCAGCTTTAAATCAGAAATCCAAATTATTTCTCAGATTCAGATTTTAGGATTTTGAGTCTAAACTGAAAAAAATCACAGAGTAATAAAATAAAATTCTGACTGATTTCTTTTCTTTTTTTACTTCCAGCTTCAATTTTTCAGTTTTTTTCTTTCTGCGATTTTTGGCCTCCAACTCTCCTCTCTAGAGACCAGCAGGGGGCAGCCTCACTGAGACGGCCTCCATGTTTTCTGTCCTCACCTTGAAGTCTTCGGGCAGCAGCAGTTTGCAGGTGCGCAGGAAGCTGAGGATGTAGCGGAAGATGTCTCCGTCCCTGTCGATGAAGTAGTGCTGCTTCAGACTGTCCAACACGATGGGCTCCGTGCCGTTAAAGAGACGACTGATCCTGCAGAGAGACGAGGGGGCGGGGTCAGACACATTCAGCGCAACAAACCGAACCCGGACCCTCAGGTACGGGTCTGTCTTCTCTTACCTGGACTCGGGGAATTTGGTGAGCGTGGCCAGGCTGCTGGTGTACATGTGCCCCCCCACGTCGATGTGGACCGGGGCGTTGGCCTTGGTCAGCTGGGCGGGGGACGGGATTCCCTGAGCCGTCATGGGGGACACGGGGGAGCGACTCAGAGACATCCTGGACATGCTCCGCCCCTCCTGTCACCGGGGACAAAAACAGCCGGGTCAGAACACAGAACCAAGGATGGACCTGCAGGACTGGAGAGGGACACCAAAGAGGGGCAGTTCCTCTCCTGTCCTCTAGAGGCAGCGTCCTGCTGTGAGTCAGTCCCCATAGAGCCCCATGTTTAAACTTTCTGAGGGTCTCTGAGGGTCTCTGAGGGTCTCTGAGGACCAGATCTGTGCGAGAACTTTGACTAACGGAGAATCAGGAATGAGGATCTGAGATTTAAAGGGTCAAACCCGCCGTAACCCCGAGTTAGACCCCGCCTCCAGAGATGAATGTTGTCGACTGCAGGATAGAAATACAGAGAGGTCTGAGGAGCCACAAACAAACTGGATAATTTTACAGCAGAATGTCCCTTTAAACACCCCCCCCCCCCCCATCAGATGAAAGTCAGTCTCTCCAGATTTCATGGCTGTCACACTGATGTGGGGGGGTCTTTGGGGGGGGCAGGCTGAGATGACCTGGGGGTCCGGCCTCACTCTGGATTAATTGACACACACACCCCCCCACACTCACACACACACACACACACACACACACACACACACACACTCACACACACACACACACACAGAGGAGCTTTGAAGCATGAAAGGTGAACAGGAGGCGGACTCAGCTCGGCTCTGCCCCGGGGCCCGCTCACGCCCCAGGGCCAAACCGACAAAACATGCTCCGCTCCCCCCATGTGTGTGTCTGTGTGTGTGTGTGTGTCTGTGTGTGTGTCTGTGTGTGTGTCTGTGTGTGTGTGTGTGTGGAAATAACAGAGAGCTGCTGATCTCGGCCGCACGTGAAGCTGGTTTCAGCTCAGGGACTTTGGATCAGCTGAGTCTGTTTGAAGGTGATCTTCAGGTAGAGCGTTCAGGAGCAGCTGTCAATCACTGTGACTGACAGCTCCTTAAGCACGCCCATCAGACCCTCCTCAGACCTTCAGGGTCAGACTTGGATCCATGAACCACATCAGCAGACTCCATATTTCACCTTCTCAAAAACCAAACCTGGTTCAGTTCTAAAGGATTCTGCTCGTCTTATGATGAAATAACTTCACCAGACTCCATTAGGAAATCTGATGATTTCAGACGGCCTTGCTTTAATCAGAGATCAGAGATGATCTGACCCTCGGTCCTGAGTCCTTCCTCCAGTTAAGAAGCTCTCACCAAACTCGAGGAAAAATCGTCTCAAAACTCCAGTTACATTGAGGTTTGTGTAACTTCTGCCCCGCAGTAACAGAGATCTGCACCGCTCAACACAGCGGACATGATGGCAGGAAAATGAAGGAAGCCCAAAGCAAAAGCTCAGTTTTTATACACAAGCGGTTCGATGTATGAAAGTGAAGTCATGCCGAATTAAACACTGAATCAGATTCTGTCAGATCATGAAAAACTATTCCGTCCATATTTAATATTTCCGCGTAAATAAGGATTAAAACTTAAATTAAAGGCTTTTTCAACGGACTTCGGTCAGGCAGTACAACGTGAGCGTTTTGACGCTCCCGGTCGACACCCGGAGGAATGTTCGTCTAAATTTCTGCGTTTTTGAGTCTTAAACTTGAACACTCGTGGTCTGAAGCTCTTCTCTGGCCTCTTCTTCTGCTGCTCGGTCTTACCTGAGAGGACACCGACACTGAAGACATGATGACCGGCGTCTGTCTGCTCCGTCCCCGGGTTCACAGTCTGAGGATTCCGGCTCTTCTTCACTCGCGGTCCGCGGTAGGCTGCCCGCCTCTCCTCCGCTGTGTGTGTGAGAGTGTGTGTGTGAGAGAGTGTGTGTGAGGAGCAGGAGAGGAGAAACAGGCCCGTCCGTATCTCCTCAGAAGAATAAAGAGGAGGAGGGCTGAAAGGGAAGAGTCGCCCGGAGCCCTTCAGACCCCCGGGGGCCAGGATTAGGTTACAATAAGGCGGCCGCCTCGTCCTCCCCCCCCGCTCAGCCTCGTCTCTGTGGCCGGGGAGAGAGAGGAGAACCCCCGCCTGCAGAGAGCTCCTTTGTCAGGGAGCTGAGAGCAGATCTACCCGGAGACCCAAACATCCACCCAGAGTCCGAACCGGAGTCCAGATGTCTCCTCAGCTGCGTCCTCTCTGTGTCCTCCTGTCCTCCTGCACGTCCTCCTCCTCCTCCTCCTCCTCCTCCACCCGTGCTGGCTGCTCCTGTATTTTAACATCAAACATCCCTCCGGCTCTCGAGCCAAATGACGTCTATCGTCATGCATTCTGCCGCTCCACGCGCCGCGGGCACAATGCGCCATTTCAATTATTGCGCGCTGCTAGATGGAGATGTGCGCCGCGAGGCTGCGCAGACAGAGCCGGTTTATTCTCCTCCACAGTCCGCGCGCGCACACACACACACACACACACACACACACACAGTCCAGTTCTTCTGCAGGAACCATTTTGTGCTCCGGAGCGCGCGCCTTTACGCACAGACTGTGCGCGAGAGTCCGCGCGCTGCCGGCCGTCAGCACCATCCACACACACACACACACACACACACACACACACACACACACACACACACACACACACACACGGTCTCTGATCATTCCATCAGAATGATGACGTCAGGACTGATCAGAAGTAAATCTGATTTTACAGTCAGGGGTCAGAGGTCATCGGGTTGTTTCCCTCCCTCCATCATGTCAACACAGACTGTATCTTGAATAGACGCCGCCTGCCCCCTCCTCTCTGTGAGAACAGCGCCCTCTGGTGACGGGCTGCAGTATAGGTCCTAAACCCCGCCTCCTTATGGAGCTGTGGACAAACTTTATAAATGAATGACACAGAATATAAATGTTTCTCCCCCCTGGTTGTGATGTTGACATGTAGTTACTGTCAGACTGGTTTGTGCTCAAGTCCTCTTTTTTCTGTACAGCTCCATTTTTAAAAGTTATTAGGGGGTTCATGTTTTCTATGATTGACACCTGATACAGCCAATGGGAGGACAGAGATTGAGTAGATCACCGGGGGGATATGCTGTTTGAGCCGAGCGTCATCACAGCGACTCTCCTGCTGAATAAGAACAAGAAAAAAACGCAGAATTACTGAGAACTTTTCAGCTTCAGATCCATAAACTGGAGGAACCAAGTGGTCCAGAGTAAAGATACAGTCTGTGATTTTAATGTTTATGTGGATTTAAAGGTGCAGTTCACCAAACAGAACATGGTTTTCACCTTTAAATGAGGAACACGCCTCATATTTCAAATGGAACTTTTATGCTTTTATTTTGAAAGGACAGTGGCTGATCTCAGTCTGTCTGTGTCTCCAGAGGAAAATCACCGACACAAACTAAAACTGTTTCCTGAGTGAAAATAAAGAAAAATCAGAGACAAACAGTTTAAAAAGTGAAAATCAGACACTCAGGGAAAGTTTAAAACGACATGAGACAGGAAGTCAACGATTGAAGGGCCACAGGGGCCCCTGAGGGGGGGTGATGAGGTAGATTAGAGATCATAAATAATTAACCCGACTGTGAGGTTAATGAGCAAACCTTCAAAATAAACAACGGTTCAAAATGTTAAAGAAACTGACAACAGATTTAAGGTCTTCAGGCTGAGAAAACAATATCAAGCTTACAGCGCCATCTGGTGGTAAACCTGTGTGAGTTCCTCACCCTCCTCCACAGGGAGAAAACAGATGAGAATTGTCCTCTTAGGGCTGCCGTAGATGTTCAGAACTCAGCGGACAAAAAAGAAGAACTTTGGACCCGTGTGGTGGTTCCTCTGTCAGAACTCCTCTCCTCCTCCTCCTCCCTCCCTCTCCTCTCTCTCCTCTCTCCCTCTCCTCCTCTCCTCCTCCTCCTCTCCTCTCCTCCTCCCTCTCCTCTCCTCCCTCTCCTCCTCCTCCCTCTCCTCCTCCTCTCCTCCTCCTCTCCTCTCCTCCTTCCTCTCCTCCTCCTCCCTCCTCTCCTCCTCTCCCCCTCTCCTCCTCCTCCTCCTCCTCTCCTCTCCTCCTCCTCCTCTCTCCTCCTCCTCCTCCCTCTCCTCTCTCCCTCTCCTCTCTCCCTCTCCTCCTCCTCCCTCCTCCTCCTCCTCCTCCTCCTCCCTCTCCTCCTCCTCCTAGCAGATATGTAAATCTCTAAATTCATCGTTTAACTTTCATTAAAGAGTCTTCAGGCTCTTTGTAATTAGACAGAATTCACTCTGCTGCTGGAGACACAGCCTGCGGTGTGTGTGTGTGCGTGTGTGTGTGTGTGTGTGTGTGTGTGTGTGTGTGTGTGTGTGTCTTGGTATTATCCACCTCCATTTCACACGTTAGGTGATGATCAGCTCCTGTTTTATTTTAGCCCGTCAGGGTTTGACATTCTGTTCCATTTTTATCATCATATAATACAACATATTTAACATACTATACTATGATATTCTAACATACTTTACTTCTATATTTATATTATATATTATTATATTATATATATCATATATAACAAGACGTGGATATAATCACATTTTAATTCTTTACGGTTTAAAAAAGTCTTTTCTGTTCAATCAGACGAAACAATAAACAAGAAAAACAGAAAATCAACCGGATGGAAAATTCTATTTATTTATTCATTTATTTTAACGTTCATAAAGTAAAATTTTAAAGTTTCAGGAGCAAACCGCAGAAAAGACGCTCCAATCCTGTCAAACATTTGAAATCCAAAATCACCTGCAGTCACATGATCACCTGCAGTCACATGATCACCTGCAGTCACATGATCACCTGCAGTCACATGATCACCTGCAGTCACATGATCCATGTTGAAGTTCGAGTCTTTTGAGCTGTTAGAAGATAAAAACTGTCAGTTCGGAGAGTTCATCTTTGTTACCAGGTGTGCTGGTCCAGGTGTGCCGGTCCAGGGGTGCCTGTCCAGGTGTGCCGGTCCAGGTGAGTTGGCAGTGCTTCGGCTTCTTCATCAGGACTGATCTCAGAGCAGCAGAGACACCTAGAGGAGGGAGGACAGTCAAAGGTGTCGGTGTTGAACTCGTGCTTCACTAAAATGACATTTTAGTTCCTCCATGAGAATCAGATGATGGTCCTTCAGAGTCCTGATGGTCTTCAGCTACAAACTGAGTCGGAGTCTCTGAGGGTCTGTGGGGGATCAGAAGGACCCAGATTAGAAACTAAACCCAACAGTGAAGTTTCTGAAACAAACAGACATCGAACCTTTAACCTGCTGAATCAAACAGACATCGAACCTTTAGCCTGCTGAATCAACACGTCAAATTAGAAATTCAACTGAAGTGAAACTGGAGCAGCTGAAGCCGAAAACATCCAGGATGTGAGGTTCTGTGTTTACTCCGAAGAGCAGCGGAGGGGTGAACGTGTGACTGTGAACATGTTACTGTGAACCTGTTACTGTGAACGTATTAGGGTGAACGTGTTACTGTGAACATGTTAGAGTGAACGTGTTACTGTGAACATGTTAGAGTGAACGTGTTACTGTGAACGTGTTAGAGTGAACGTGTTAGGGTGAACGTGTTACTGTGAAGGTGTTACTGTGAACGTGTTAGAGTGAACATGTTACTGTGAACGTGTTAGAGTGAACGTGTTACTGTGAACGTGTTACTGTGAACATGTTACTGTGAACGTGTAAGAGTGAACGTGTTACTGTGAACATGTTACTGTGAACGTGTTAGAGTGAACGTGTTACTGTGAATGTGTTACTGTGAACGTGTTAGAGTGAACGTGTTACTGTGAACATGTTACTGTGACCGTATTAGGGTGAACGTGATAGAATGAACGTGTTAGGGTGAACGTGTTAGAGTGAACGTGTTACTGTGAACGTGTTACTGTGAACATGTTAGAGTGAACGTGTTACTGTGAACATGTTACTGTGAACGTATTAGGGTGAACGTGTTACTGTGAACGTGTTACTGTGAAGGTGTGACTGTGAACGTATTAGGGTGAACGTGTTACTGTGAACATGTTAGAGTGAACGTGTTACTGTGAACATGTTAGAGTGAACGTGTTACTGTGAACGTGTTAGAGTGAACGTGTTAGGGTGAACGTGTTACTGTGAAGGTGTTACTGTGAACGTGTTAGAGTGAACATGTTACTGTGAACGTGTTAGAGTGAACGTGTTACTGTGAACGTGTTACTGTGAACATGTTACTGTGAACGTGTAAGAGTGAACGTGTTACTGTGAACATGTTACTGTGAACGTGTTAGAGTGAACGTGTTACTGTGAATGTGTTACTGTGAACGTGTTAGAGTGAACGTGTTACTGTGAACATGTTACTGTGACCGTATTAGGGTGAACGTGATAGAATGAACGTGTTAGGGTGAACGTGTTAGAGTGAACGTGTTACTGTGAACGTGTTACTGTGAACATGTTAGAGTGAACGTGTTACTGTGAACATGTTACTGTGAACGTGTTAGGGTGAACGTGTTACTGTGAACGTGTTAGAGTGAACGTGTTACTGTGAACGTGTTAGGGTGAACGTGTTAGGGTGAACGTGTTAGAGTGAACGTGTTAGGGTGAACGTGTTACTGTGAAGGTGTTAGAGTGAACGTGTTACTGTGAACGTGTTACTGTGAACATGTTACTGTGAACGTGTTAGAGTGAACGTGTTACTGTGAACGTGTTACTGTGAACGAGTTACTGTGAACGTGTTAGAGTGAACGTGTTACTGTGAACGTGTTACTGTGAACGTATTAGGGTGAACGTGTTACTGTGAACATGTTACTGTGAACGTGTTAGAGTGAACGTGTTACTGTGAACGTGTTACTGTGAACGTGTTAGAGTGAACGTGTTAGGGTGAACGTGTTAGAGTGAACGTGTTACTGTGAATGTGTTACTGTGAACGTGTTAGAGTGAACATGTTAGGGTGAACGTGTTAGAGTGAACGTGTTACTGTGAACGTGTTACTGTGAACATGTTACTGTGAACGTGTTAGGGTGAACGTGTTAGAGTGAACGTGTTAGGGTGAACGTGTTACTGTGAACGAGTTAAAGTGAAGGTGTTACTGTGAACGTGTTACTGTGAACATGTTACTGTGAACATGTTACTGTGAACGTGTTACTGTGAACGTGTTACTGTGAACATGTTACTGTGAACGTGTTAGGGTGAACGTGTTAGAGTGAACGAGTTAAAGTGAACGTGTTACTGTGAACGTGTTACTGTGAACGTGTTGTTTAATATGATTTCGGCTCATTCATAGATTATTTCACAAAGATCTATTTCACCTGTTAATCAGGAACAAACTGCGACTGTTTATAAAAAGCTGAAGCCCCGCCCCCTCAGTGCAGGTGTGGGAGGGGTTTGGAGTAGCTGAACATCAGGTAGTCCATGCGGTAGAAGTCGTAGACCCTCTGTCGCTCTGTGGCGTTCAGCAGAGAGAAATATCTCCTCATGATGGAGGAGGACGTCCTCTCGTCCTGCGGGTTCCTGTCCTTGTAGTCGGGGAAGGTGACGTGCGGCGGCGCTCCGATGCTCCTAAGCAGGAAGTTAGCTTCACTGTTCATGTTCTCGAACTTTCCGATGAAGTCGTAGTGAATCAGGCAAGGGTGGCACAGCGTGCTCACCGGCGTCCAGTGGCTGTCCATTCCCACTGGACGCCGCGGGTCCAGCAGGTAGTGCACAAACTCCCTGAAGGTGACGCCATCGCCGGTGTTGAGGGCGCTCTGCGAGGCGTTGGCGCGGTACCTGGAGATGATGTGCCGACCGAACAGACGGTGGTAATAATCGTTTGGATTCTCAAACTTGTCACGAAACGCCGACACCAGCCGCTCGAAGGGGTCCCTGACGAACAGGACCTTGGTGTAGGTGTTGACCCGCTCCATGATGCTGTCCAGGTCAAAGTTCACCAGGTGCGGCAGGCGGTTGTGGATGTGAGCGATGTCGTGAGGGATGTCCAGGGCAGAGTCCGCGTAGCCCGCCAGAACCATCAGGACCCGCTTCCAGTTGGAGCAGCCGGCTTTGGGAACCTCGCAGTACAGGAGCCTGGACCGGTCTTCTGCCCACACCATGACCATGTGACTCTTGGAGACCAGCTGATCCCAGGCGCCCGGCCAGTACTTGGAGCAGATGTCCGCCAGCAGGCGGCGCCGTAACCTCTGTGTCGTCCTCTGCTGCTCAAGGACCTTCTCAGATCCAACAGGAGGCACCAGAGTACTGTCCTGGAAGAGTCCGAGATCAGGAGGTCTGGAACCGTTAAACATCAGAGAGGAGACGTCTCCTTCAGCAGGACTGTCCAACACGTCCTCCTTTAACGAGACAGAAGACAGTTTGAGTCCAGAGACAATCATGATTTTATACAAGATCTGAGGGTGTCCTCTGAGGTCCTGAGAGACGCCGCTGTCTTAGACTGAGGACACTGATCATCAGACTGAGACAAGGAGGAGGACGTCTGTGAGCTGAAGGACGTCCCTCTGTGTGTCAGAGTTCTAACTCCACAGCAGGCCAGCAGGGGGCTCTGTCCCCATAACCCTGACCCGGTCTGTGGTTCTGATTGGTCGGACTCACCTCCTCTGAGTTTCTCTGCAGCTTCTTCACACCTGAAGACAGAAAGACAGAGAGAAGGTGAGACAGATCAGCTGATCTGAGACCATGTGACCTTCAGCTGATCTTCATATACTAACCAATCAATTCGTTTATATCAGTGTTTGTGTTTGTTTATCAATATTTATATACAACTTTGTTTTTGTGTTTAATGTTGTTTTCATATGTCAAAGTTTGTTCAGGTGTAACTGAACTTTATAGTTTCCAAAGTTTGTGTATAAAACAGTTTGTATATATAGTTGTGTATAAATCATAGTTTGTATATATAGTTGTGTATAAATCATAGTGTGTATATATAATTGTGTTTAAATCATAGTTTGTATAGTTGTGTATAATTGTTGTGTATCTAAAACAGTAACAGTGTGAGTGACCTCTCTGGTCTCCTGTGTTTCCTGACGACTGTTTCCTCGTTTGTTTGCTCTGCGGCTCTAATCTCTCTTCACTCGTTAATTAAAGTTTATCTAATCAGGTAATAACCGTCGTCATAGAAACTCCGGGACAGGAGGATCCTGAAGGTACAGACATGTCTGTGAGGAGGAGGTCTTTATAATCTGATCAGGTAATTTCAGATTTAATCTCAAATACTGAGTCAGGATTAAAGTCCAAGTCTTTTCAGAGTTTCAGAACCGAAAGATGAAGATCATCAGGTCCTTCAACAACAAACAAAAAACATGTTTTCTACTAAACTCAGATTAAACTCAGATTAAACTAGATTCTAAGGTCCGGTTCTGTGTCCTGGTTCCACACTTCTGGTCCTGAATCATGAGGTTTGATGTCAGGAACTTTATAACCTAAAGACCAGAGTACCATCAGAGGGAACCTTTAACCCAGAGTACTGTCAGAGCCTCAGCTGTGTGGCGTTCAGAGCGATGATGTTTTGGCGTCCTCGTCTCTCAGGTCTCATAATCGCCGGTTTAACTTCTGAGAGTCGCCCTCGTGGTCGTCGTTGGCGTCCTCACCGTCAGGTCAGGTTGGTGTTTAATATTCTAATCTGCTGCAGAGCGTCTGTGTTCGAGTCTGTGCGTGCAGGAGATAACGCCGCGGCGCTCTGAAGGCGGCGAGCGTGCTGAGAAAATTCCCTCCAATCCTCAGAAGCGCGGCGCTCACGGTGTTTGTGCTGGAGCGACTCGGAGATTACAGAGACGCCACGACAGAAACCTCTGATCATGTGACCTCCTCCTGCAGCAGGTTCACACGTTCATCTGGAGTCAAACTCTCCGCCTTCCTGGAGCGACGAAGTGGACTAAAGATCTGACCCTCAGACCCTCAGACCCTCAGACCCTCAGATCTGACCCTCAGACCCTCAGATCTGACCCTCAGACCCTCTGACCCTCAAACCCTCAGACCCTCAGACCCTCAGACCCTCAGATCTGACCCTCAGACCCTCAGACCCTCAGACCCTCAGACCCTCAGACCCTCAGACCCTCAGACCCTCAGACCCTCAGACCCTCAGATCTGACCCTCAGACCCTCAGACCCTCAGACCCTCAGACCCTCAGATCTGACCTTTGTGTTGAAGCGAACAGAGCGCTGACTCTTCTGGGTTTCTTCTCGTCACTCATTGGTTCTCCTTCGACTCTCAGACTGACAGGAAGCTCCTCTCTCTCTCTCTCTCTCTCTCTCTCTCTCTCTCTCTCTCTCTCTCTCTCTATCACTCGCTCGCCCTCAAATATTCATCAGCTGGTCATCAATAAAACATGGACTCAGGGGTGAGGCTGATCAGGACTCACTCTCTCTCAGCAGAACCAGAAGCAATCCTCTGAACCCCCTCCATCAGACCTCCATCAGACCTCCATCAGACCTCCATCAGACCTCCATCAGACCCCCATCAGACCTCCATCAGACCCCTATCAGACCCCCATCAGACCCCCATCAGACCTCCATCAGACCCCCATCAGACCCCCATCAGACCTCCATCAGACCCCCATCAGACCTCCATCAGACCCCCATCAGACCTCCATCAGACCCCCATCAGACCTCCATCAGACCTCCATCAGACCTCCATCAGACCCCCATCAGACCTCCATCAGACCTCCATCAGACCTCCATCAGACCCCTATCAGACCCCCATCTATCAGACCCCCATCAGACCCCCATCAGACCTCCATCAGACCCCTATCAGACCTCCATCAGACCCCCATCAGACCCCCATCAGACCTCCATCAGACCCCCATCAGACCTCCATCAGACCCCCATCAGACCTCCATCAGACCCCCATCAGACCTCCATCAGACCCCCATCAGACCTCCATCAGACCTCCATCAGACGCCCACAGCTCTGTTACTGGTTTACTGGGACCAGCAAAGGCCCAGAGCAGCCAGTCTACACTCTACCTGTGATGGAGTAACTGCTGTTTGATCCAGCAGAGGGCGCTCTGACTGTTGAATGACACTCAGTTCAGTTACTCAGTGATGACCTCATCAAAAATGGAGGACATGTGCTGCAGTCAAAGTTCCTCACCTCAAACAGAACATTGAGGGTCAGGACTTCAGGTCCTCCTCAGGACAAACATGTCAGACCTCAATGTCAGGCCTGACCCCCGACCTCCACCCTCATCCTGATCGTCTCCTAAAAGGTCGTATCCTCCGATCGTAGCTGATCGTAACCATTCAAGTTAACGTGTCAATTTACACCGACTTCTTTTCAAAATAAAACACTCCGTGTTTCAGGAGGATCGTATTTCACACCATGCAAACGGGCGGAGACGAACAAGTGAAAGGTTTTTAGACGTCATTTCACCCCGATGACACCATGGATGAGGAGATGCTGATTCTAGAAGTCTAGAAGTAGATTTCCTCCTCTGGAAGGACACAATCTACTGCTTATATGTCTATGTGTCTGTCTTTAGAGAGACGACTCGTTATCGTGAGATTGAACGTGAATCTGCGGGTTCTTGTGAGTTCTCCTGATTCCTGCGTCTGTAATCCGCCATGAACAAACAGATCCTGTAGGAGTTGGCGGACGGTGAAAACTCGAGGTCAGTCCTTCTTCAATCACCTCAACGTTTCCTGTCAGGGTTCGGTCTGAGACCTTCAGAGTTCTCCATGATGTTCTTCAAGGAGACTCTTCGTCTGCTGAGTCTCAGATTCACTGTAGAAAATGTTGTTAAAAAAAAGTCTGACTGTGATTGGTCAGATTTTTACCCTGGAGTACAGAGAGGCTTCAGGTCGACCGATTATTGACGAGTCTTTCATTGATCAGTTACACAAGGTTACCATCAGCAGCAGCTCTGTTCAGGTGTTCATCATGAATCTCAGACTCAATCGTGTTTTTGAGGCCGTGTGATCAACAGTCAGGACACACACACACACACTCACACACTCACTCACACTCACACACTCACAGACTCACACACTCACTCACACTCACTCACACTCACACACACACACACTCACTCACACACTCACACACTCACAGACTCACACACTCACACACACACACTCACACCCACACACAAACACACTCACACACACACACACACTCTAACCCTCTGAGACTCTCAGTGTTTCTATTTGCAGTGGCTCCGCCTCTCACACTGATCTCATGTTTCACGCTCCTCTCGGCCCTCAGCTCCAGTCTGTTCTCCGTGGACCCGTGGTGTCAGTGTCGGTGTCAGTGTCTGTGTCTGTGTCGGTGTCGGTGTCGGTGTCAGTGTCTGTGTCTGTGTCTGTGTCAGTGTCAGGTCGGTGTCAGTGTCAGTGTCGGTGTCGGTGTCGGTGTTGGTGTTGGTGTCAGGTCGGCTGTCATGAAGCTGCACGTTCACAGAATCAAACATCTGCAGCTGCATGAGGAGGACGTCCATTAGAAACCACAACGTCTAAAAATACAGTGAGAACACATTCAGCAGGAGAGTCTCTGTGATGACGCTCGGCTCAAACAGCGTATCCCCCGGTGATCTACTCAATCTCTGTCCTCCCATAGGCTGTATCAGGTGTCAATCATAGAAAACATGAACCCCCTAATAACTTTTAAAAATGGAGCTGTACAGAAAAAAGAGGACTTGAGCACAAACCAGTCTGACAGTAACTACATGTCAACATCACAACCAGGGGGGAGAAACATTTATATTCTGTGTCATTCATTTAGAAAGTTTGTCCACAGCTCCATAAGGAGGCGGGGTTTAGGACCTATACTGCAGCCCGTCACCAGAGGGCGTTTCCAAGTTCAGCGTCTCAGTTTAACCGCAGTCAGGTGACCTGTGACATCACTCACCTGGGTTCAGGAGCTGGATGGAGCTGGAGAGGTCCTCCAGATGGAACAGCAGCGGCAGAGATCCAGTTCCTAACAGGACGGCGAACCACAGGAAGGAGCGGTGGGAGCAGCGGCGCCTCATCACCACCAACACACCTGCAGGGACCTCAGGACGCCAACAGGGACCTCAGGACGCCAACAAGGACCTCAGGACGCCGACAGGGACCTCAGGACGCCAACAAGGACCTCAGGACGCCAACACAAATGCTGATGATGGACTGACACACTGATGCGGGTCGGACATGAGAAGCGCCTGAGGGAGGAGCCAAAGAGAAGTAAGTTCTGACATCGTTACTTTAGAGACGTCCTCTCCTGCTCGTCACTGACGTCTTTTTGACGTCTGTGTTTATAAACGTTTCTCAGATCAGCTGACAGTGAAGTCTGTCAACAACAAGAACCAGACTGATCATGAGGTGATGAAGATGAAGAGGAGGAGGAGGAGGGTGATGAAGATGATGGAGTCCAGGTTCCTCCTGCCGCTCTGAGTCAGTTATTGATCCATCATGGCGTCTTCGTCTGTCGTGTTATTACACATAGTGGGACGCTTCTGCACACGCTCAGTTTGATCAAAGACCCCCGCTGTGACCCTGAGAGGTCAAAGGTCAGCAGGAGATCAGAGTGAGGCAGTGAAAGATGATCCTCCATCAGCAGGTCAGACCTGGACTGAGTCCAGAACTCTGGAGTCCTTCATACCACAACTGAGCGTTTCAGAATCCAGGCTCCGCCCCCGACATTCTTAAACCCTGGCACCGCCCCCAGATGGACCTGCAGGACAAAAGATCTACTGTGGTCCCAGATGAACCCTGAACCCTCATCTGTGGAGACTGAGATCATGGTCTGGATCTGGACTCTGATGGATCACCAAGACCGGATATCCCTGAATTAATGAGGGTTAATCAATATCCCTTTATGACATATTGATTATGATATCACTGTCCTGATTATCAGTTTAATGTCCATCATCTTCATCATCATTAGACTCCATCAGTCTGATCAATATGATCAATAATCCAAACATGAACGGAGTTCATTAAGATTGATTAAAGGTTAATTAATTAATTAGTTAATGATGCAGCTCAGAGATTCAGGAACTCCAGATTAAAGGAGATTATTGACACTAATTAATCTGTCAGATTAAAGGACCTCAGCCGCTGATCAATCCATCAATAACAGCAGGATGGATCAATAACAGCAGGACAGATCAATAACAGCAGGATGGATCAATAACAACAGTCATTGAACCCGATCTTATCAATTTATTCAGAATCTAATAAACACTTTCACTTCAGGACACACACACACACACACACACACACACACACACACAGTAAACCGTCAGAGCAGAAACAGCTGATACTTACACACACACACACACACACACACACACACACACACACACACACACACACACACACACACACACACACACGGTTACTTACACAAACACACACACACTGACCTGTTTCGGAACCGCGTGCACTCCACAGATGAACAGTAGTCCTGCACGTGCGCGTTTGTGTCCGGTAAAGTGTCCGCTCGGTGAGTTTATACCGGAGGGGCGGAGCCAGGAACGCCCGGACCTGCGCACTCTCACGCAACTCACAGCGGCAGAGTTTGTGTGTGTGTGTGTGTGTGTATGGGGGGGCATATATAATTAGAGGACTAAGTACGCCTGCGCGCAGCGGCAGCCATCTTGGCGAGGGCAAAGTTCCAATAAAAGTGAATAATGAATTTAAAAGAACTATAAAGACATTAAAAATAAATCATAATAACATTTAAAATAACCTTAAAAGACATTTGAAAGAAGTATAAAAGTGATTTAAAATTACTCAAAATAATAAGAGGATTAGGACCACTTGGAAAAAAAGCTCCAATCATTTTTTTAAATTATTATTATTATGAGAAAATCGTCAGAATTCTGTTTTTCTTTTTTCCAGAATAATCTTAAAAATTATATTAGACCTTTTTTCCCCAGTGTCCCTAATCCTCTGCTGTTCAGAATATTTTATTAATAATATTTTATTTTGATTTTCTTTTCCACTGAAGTTCACACAGCAGCGTCTGTCTTTATGAGACTGAACCAAAGTTAATCTAATCTTTGTTCAGAGACGAACAACATCCTGAAATATCTGCAGTGACACGAGTCAGAGACTAAACTAGGGACTAAACATGGATCAACTTACCCCACTCTCCCCTATCTCCAGTCCAGCATTAAAGAGGTTCACAGAGCTGAAGGTAAACACTTCAGAACAGAACAGAACAGAAATGAAGAAAAATGTTTTTATTTGAGATTTTTGAAAACAAACCAGAGGAAACGTTCAAACAGAGAGAGGACCGACAACCATGACGGCAAGAAAGGTAAGACACTCTTTAATCATCTTTAATGATCTTTAATGATCTTTAATTATCTTTAATCATCTTTAATTATCTTTAATTATCTTTAACTATCTTTAATTATCTTTAATTATCTTATGTTTGTGCTGAAAGACGGAAAATCTGTCACTAGTTAGAGTCACTCGTTAGTATTACTAGTTAGATTAACTCGTTAGTATCACTAGTCAGATTCGCTCGTTAGTACTGAGTGACAGAGACACAGAGGGACTACATGATCCAGGACTGAGATGGTTGGTGAAGGTCTTTGGTGGGTTTGCAGACCGTTGGTTCTTCACAGAAGTTGTTTATTTTTTTTTAAAGTTGTCCTTCCTGTTTTCCCTGTAAACAGGAAGTGACATCGAGATGTGCGGGCAGAGAAGTGACAGCCAATCAGCAGAGGAGCTCTGACCACCTGATCCACGGCCTGAGCGTTGACCGCTACAGACAGATCTACGGCGCCGTGCTGCAGCCCTCGGTCCTCTCGGCTCTGTCCTCGTCCAAACCCACGGTGAGACACTTTCATAGAGCAGGTTCAGAACCAGAACCAGAACCAGAACCAGAGACCGGTCCGTTCAGGACAGAGTCAAACCAAAAACCAGAGCCCTGATCAGGAACTACGTCCCCCATCACCCTGAAGTGTTTATAGATGTTCAATAACATGGAGGTTTCTTACCGTTACCATGGTAACAGAGTCTGACCCTCCAACAGCACAAACACTAAAGTTAACAATCATCAGTGTGTGTGTGAGTGTGAGTACCATCATCTTTCATCATCTTCATCATCTTCATCCAGCTCTGCTGCCCTCTGCTGGACAGAAGGAGAGCCCAGTGTGTGTGTTTGTGTGTGTGTTTGTGTGTTTGTGTGTGTGTGTGTGTGTGTATAAACATACATATATTCTAACAGTGTGTGTGTGTGTGTGTGTGTGTGTATAAACATACATATATTCTAACAGTGTGTGTGTGTGTGTGTGTGTGTGTGTGTGTGTCTTCCCTCTCATATTTCAGGACTATGTCTGTGGGGTGTTGGAGCTGAAGCGGCGTCTGTGGGAGGCTCTGAGTCGACCTCAGCTGCAGGAGAGGCTGATGGAGGACGGGCGGGTGGAGGTCACAGAGATGTTCGACCTGACCTGATGGAGGACGGGCGGGTGGAGGTCACAGAGATGTTCGACCTGACCTGATGGAGGACGGGCAGGTGGAGGTCACAGAGATGTTCGACCTGACCTGATCTAAGATGGCGGCGGTCTGTTATATTCAATAAATGGCTTCATTTGACAGTCAGATCTTCGGTTTGTTCTCCTGCAGAAATCCGACCCTCTCTCTCTCAGACAGATTTGCATGTTTGGTTTGTGGACGGGTGGACGGGTGGACAGGTGGACAGGTGGACGGGTTTCCTCTGACTGTCCTCTGAGTTTATGGAACAGGTGAGACAGACTCAGTGTTGGTCTGGTGACGGGGTGAAGACTGGAAACTGAACAAACACACGTCCTCTGTAGACCACAGACCGCCATCATTGATTCACTCATGAGGATGATGAGGGTGATGAAGGTGATGAAGATGATGAAGGTGATGATGATGATGAGGATGATGAGGATGATGAAGGTGATGATGATGATGAAGGTGTTGAGGATGTTGAGAATGATGATGATGAGGGTGATGAAGATGATGATGAAGGTGATGATGATGATGATGATGATGATGAGGGTGATGAAGGTGATGATGATGATGAAGGTGATGAAGATGATGAAGGTGATGATGAAGGTGATGAAGGTGATGAAGGTGATGATGATGATGAAGGTGATGATGAAGGTGATGAAGGTGATGAAGGTGATGATGAAGGTGATGAAGGTGATGAAGGTGATGAAGATGATGAAGGTGATGAAGGTGATGATGAAGGTGATGAAGGTGATGAAGGTGATGAAGATGATGAAGGTGATGATGAAGGTGATGAAGGTGATGAAGGTGATGATGAAGGTGATGAAGGTGATGAAGGTGATGATGATGATGAGGGTGTTGAGGATGATGAGGGTGATGAAGGTGATGAAGGTGATGAAGGTGATGATGAAGGTGATGAAGGTGATGAAGGTGATGATGAAGGTGATGATGAGGATGATGAGGGTGATGAGGATGATGAGGATGATGATGGTGATGAAGGTGATGATGATGATGAGGGTGATGATGATGATGATGATGAAGGTGATGAAGGTGATGAGGGTGATGATGATGATGATGAAGGTGATGAAGGTGATGATGATGATGAGGGTGATGAAGATGATGATGATGAAGATGATGATGATGATGAAGGTGATGAGGACGTTGAGGATGTTCACTCTGTCTGTGTTCGGTCGTTCTGCTCCTTCCTGTTTCTGGCCCAGCAGCTCACCTGGCGGAGGCGGGACAGGTAGAACGTCGGTCCGATGAACAGGCCGAAGTTCGGGAAGAGCAGCAGCACCTGCAGGACGTCACACTGGGCGGGGCTGACGGCGTCTGAGTGTTGGGATGTGATAACCGCCATGTATGGAACCAGAGCCACTAGAGGAGAGTACGCCACGACGGACGGCGCCATCACAGCCAAGACGTTCTTCAGAGCCCGCCTCTTTAACGGCACACCAGATCCTGAAGCGTCCCCTGGACCGCTCTGACGCAGGACCCGGACGATACCCAGCAGACTCAGGAGCATGAGCAGGAAGAGCAGGGAGATGATGACGGACAGGCCCAGCAGAACCGAGAACAGACCCAGGAAGTACCCCAGCAGGGCCGCCGTCAGGGTCAGGACCCAAGTACAGGCGCACAGGACCACTCGGTACTCCCACCTCCCCATTCGGATGTAGATCATGGGCCACGCCGCCGCCACATAACGCTCCAAACACATGCAGGTGAGCAGCAGCGGACAGCCCAACACGTTAAGGGCAAACAGGGCTTCCTGGGCGGAGTCAGGGGAGTGGTGTAGGGTGGTGTACAGGTCTAGAGGCAGACACAGGCAGTAAAGGACATCCATGACGGACACATTCAGGCCCAGCAGCTCAGACGGGGTCATGGACCTCCTCCTGTTTAACAGCGTCATCATCAAAGCGGCGTTGGCCGGAAACGCCGTCACCAGGATGAAGATCTTGACTCCCAACCAGCCCAGAGAGCCGCCCTGGACGTGACAGCGGTTAACTATCCGTGTGAGACCGGCCCCTGAGAAATCCAGGAACCAGAGCAGGAAGCTGAGGTTCCCTCCAGGAGAGGGGAAGAGGAATGAAGAAGAAGCTCCGCCCACAGAGACGTTGCTGCTGATGCTGCAGTTCAGAGTGCAGGGTGGCGCCGATGGAGCTGATGGAGCTGAGGACGCCGTGCTGCTGTTTCCCATCATGGACCGTCTATGGCTGAAGGTCGTCTACAGCTGAAGGTCGTCTACAGGTCGAGAAAAAAAAGATTAACAGATAAACCGTCACTGTGACAGTCCTTAGACCGAGTTTACTAAAGTCTGAGAATAAAACCCAGTTTAAAGTTTAAATAAAGTAAAAAAAAATTTAAAAAAAGGAAAGTTTACTTTAAATTTAATAAATATAATAAAATAAAAATACAGTAAATGATAAAAAAATAAATAAAAAATAAATAAAGTAAAAAATAAATAAATAAATGAATAAAGTAAATAAATAATTAGTTTTAAAAAATTAAACAAATAAAAATAAATAAATAAATAAAAGATTAATAAATTACATAAAAATAAGTTAAATAAACAATAAAAATAAAATAATTAATAAATTAAATAAATAAATAAAAATAAATAAAATTTTAAATAAAACAAGTTTAAATGAAAACATCCAAATATACTTTATTTTAACAACAAACAGAGGTAAAGTTTGTTTTAATTTTTTATTAAAGAAAAGCTTTACTTTAAAAACGATGAGGTGAAATACGTGACGAGACAAAAGTTCAGTTGGATTTGGAAAAAGAAATTCAAAAACTTCAAAGAAATAAAAATTTTATTTAAAAAAATAGATTTATTAGAACTTGAGGTTAAATTTATTTTGTCATTAAAATTAAAACGATGATAGGAGCAATAAAAGTTAAATTTAAGGGCAAACTTTTTCCTTCTTTAATTTTCATGTTTCTTTAATATTTTAGTTTGGGAAAAAGAGAAAAAGAGTCACACAGGTACAAGAAACAAACATTAAGGAAGGAAAAAGACAAAAAGACAAAATAAATATGAGGAATAAGAGGGAAGACAAAATGTAAAAACAAGTTTGAGTTTGAGAAAAGAAAATATGATCGGACGTTCAATTAAAAAAAGAGTTTATGACAGAAAATTTAAGGAAACTCAGAATTTAAAATTTAATTCAACTTTGAAAAAAGGAAAAGAGAAGAAATTAAAATAAAAAGTTGGAATGAAAATAAAACTAAGACAGATTTTTAACGAGTCTGAGGATGAAGAAGATGAACGAACCTGGAGGAGGAAGAAGACGTCTGCTCTGTGATGAAGATTCTCCTCCTCCTCATCTTTTTAAAGCTGCAGACACACCCAGAGGAGCTTTGCATACAGAAGAGGAGGAGCAGGAGGAGCAGGAGGAGCAGGAGGTCTGAAAATAACCATCTCTGTTTGTTTCCCAAACATGCAAATCTCTGAAGAGTCTGAAGTTCAGGTGAACACCTGACGGACAGGTGGAGGTTCTCTGAGGGACCTCAGCAGCAGACCGACTCTCAGATCTGATGGTTCTGATTCTGATGAGTCCGTCCTGACGCTCAGTTTCATCACAAACAGGAAGTGAGTCAAACTCCCGTCAGTCGCTCATTTACGATTTCATTCACATCAGGACAAACTTCAGGTGTTTTCCTCAAACTCATGTTTTCAGGGATTTGTGTACCTGTTGTGTAAGATGTGTAACCATGGTTACATAAAGTGGGTGTGGTCTGACTCACCCACCATCCACATGGATGAGGGGATCACCTGAAACTGTGGGCGGGGCTTAAAGATGTAAAGCAGAAACCAGTTTTTTTTTAAGTGAAAATGTTGAAAAGAGTTGAAAGTAAAACTTGATGAAACATTTTAATTATTCAAATAAAGTTTGGCATCGTTACAATAAATACAGTTAAAATATAGAAAATTTGTTGTTGTAGTTTAATTATTTTTAAATAAATGAGTTTGACTGTTTGAAAGATTAAAACGTCGATAATAAAGAAGGTTCAGAGTTTGGATGATTGAAAAGTTTCTTTATAAAGAGGTTTTAGAATCAGGAGGACCGAGTTTAACCCACTGAGACGCTGGAGAAGGACGACCCCTGCTGGACAACACCTGTAACTGCAGAGAGCCTGTGTGTTTTAAAACTGCAGGTTTAATTCATTTAAGGACTTATTCCATCATCTTACCTGCGTGTCTGTCAGCTCACCTGTGCTTTCAGGTGAAGGGTCAGGTCAGGTGGGCGGTGCTTGTTGCCGTGGAAACCTGAAGCATGTGTCCTCGTGTGAACCATGCAGATGACATCATCAGCTCTGTTTGCACGTGCTCAGTGCAGCAGATGAACACATGAACACTTGATTGATCTGAACCTAAACAAAAACGCTCTGACATCACAACCAGTTTTCACCATAAGGTTACTGCACACGCTCAGAACTCCTCTTCAGAGTCACCTTAGTGTTAAAACTGTGATCCCGTTTATATCAGGATGAAACTTCAGTTTATTATTTTAATTATTATTATAATTATTATTATTATCATTTAGCCAAAGCAGCTGCTGATGGCGTCCATTTTTAAAGCCTGTGGATGTGACGTCATAATCAGCTGATGAGAAACAGGAAGTGCGTCCACAGAGTAGAAATAAAAACAGACTTTTATTGTGTTGATCTGCTGTAAGTACTGAGCGTGCTCAGTGCAGCAGGAAGTGAACATATAAAGAATAAATGGAATGTTTTGTTCAGTAATACTGATCTGACCATATAAGGAAGAAGAGTCTGTGACATCATCACCAGCGTCCAATCATCTGCTGTAAGTACCATCTGTCTGTCTAAGACCGTACCTGCTCACATAAGTCTGATATAAACACGCCCCCCCTCAGGTGAGCTAACAGGAGTTGAGGGGGCGGGGCCACGCAGTGCCAGGGGGCGGGGTCACACAGTGCTCTTGGTGGGCAGCTCTGTGCTGTTGTGTCGAGTTTTGCGTGACGTGCCGTCGTCCCGCGGCCGCGCTCGCTGCAGGTTGGACATGGCAGCGGTGCGTTCGATGTCAATGAGGGCGTACAGCTCGGTGCGGCGGGTGGGCGTGGTCGGGGGGAGGGGTGAGGTGGGGGTGCGTGGCGTGTGAGGGTTACTGCCGTCCGAGGCGCCTTTGTTCCCGCCGCCCTGATCCATCTCCACCTCGATGTAGTTCAGGGTTTTCGGCGGCTCCGTGTACCCGGCCAGCGGCGGCCGTCTGAAGTCAAAGTTAAAGATGGTGGGGCCGTCCGCACGGCGGCGGGCAGTGTCCGGCCTGTGGGCGCTGAGCGGCGCCGTCACATTCTCTGTGTTGACGTAGTTGTGCGAGGACTCGAGTGTGGCTGACAGGGGGTGGGAGTAGGAGTGGTGCAGCGCCCCGTGGTGGTTGTAGCCGTTGAGTGACGGCGTCCTTAGACTGCCACATACAGGCTCCTCCTCCTCGCTGCTGGGCTTCCTGGCCTCCCACACGGGCGGCAGCGCCGGCAGGTTCTCGTAGTCCAGCAGGGCGGTGCGGCGCTGCGCAGAGTTGTTGACATTCTGCAGGTCAGGGGTGAGGGGGGGCGGGCGGTGGCGGCGAGGAGCCGTGGATGGATTGGAGGAGGAGCCGTTTGAGAGCGGTGGCGCGGGCTCCGGCTCAGCGGGGGTCTCAGAGGAGCTGTCAGTCTCTTTTGGCTCCTCCCCTTTTGCTTCCTGCTTCCTCTTCTCCATCAGCTGCTTCTGAACGGGGGTGGGGCCTAACACGAAGCGCACGCCCTGCGGCTCCAGCAGCACCTGCGGCTCCGGCTGAGGGGGCGGGGCCGGCAGCTCAGGGCGGACCCTCGGGGGAGGAGGGGGAGTGGGGGGGCACTGAGAGTGGGGGGAGGTGGGGCTCTCCAAGGGGGTGGTGACGGTCAGGGGGCTGGGCTGCTCCTCCAGGAGTCCCGACGTGTTCACGTAGGTGTGCACCTGCGGGGGCGAGGGATGACATCATCATGACATCATCAAACATCACCTGGTGGGAACATGAATCAAACAGGAAGTGGAACACTCACCGCCTCGTCAGCCACCAGCAGAGGGTGAGTAGACTCCTCCCCCACAGACGGGAGGCGGGTGGACGCCACCGATGGGTGACGGGTGGAGGGGTGAGACGGCGCCTCCCCCACAGACGGGATCCTGCTCACGCCGTTAGGGACCGACGGCACCGAGTACCCCAGAGCTACACACACACACACACACACACACACACACAGGCACACAGGTACACAAGTGAGCAGTGTGTGGATAACTGTAGGTGTGTTAGTGTGTGTGTGTGTTAGTGTGTGTTAGTGTGTCTCTGTGTGTGTTAGTGTGTCTCTGTGTGTGTTAGTGTGTCTCTGTGTGTGTTAGTGTGTGTTAGTGTGTCTCTGTGTGTGTTAGTGTATGTTAGTGTGTCTCAGTGTGTGTTAGTGTGTGTTAGTGTGTGTTAGTGTGTGTTAGTGTGTCTCTGTGTGTGTTAGTGTATGTTAGTGTGTGTTAGTGTGTATCAGTGTGTGTTAGTGTGTGTTAGTGTGTCTCTGTGTGTGTTAGTGTGTGTTATTCCAGGTGTGTTTGTTGTTGATCAGCTGAAGGTTTAAAGATCTACACACGTGGTTTTCATAGAAATACACAACAACAACAACAACAACAACAACAACAACACATGTGTGTGTGTGTGTGTGTGTGTGTGTGTGTGTGGGAGTTAAAAACGTTTTTCTGGTCCTAGTCTGATCAGTCGGTCTTCATGTCGGCGTGAAGAGCAGTATCCTACAGTAGATCTACAGTATATAGTAATCTGCAGATATCTACAGTTTATATATTTTTTATATTTTCATTAAAAAGTTTAAAAATCGTCGAATGATGGCTAACAGGATTTTTTTGGGTAACAGGATTTTTTTGGCTAACAGGATTTTTTTTGGTAACAGGATTTTTTTGGCTAACAGGATTTTTTGGCTAACAGGATTTTTTGGGTAACAGGATTTTTTTGGCTAACAGGATTTTTTTGGCTAACAGGATTTTTTTGGCTAACAGGATTTTTTGGCTAACAGGATTTTTTGGCTAACAGGATTTTTTGGCTAACAGGATTTCTTAGGTAACAGGATTTCTTGGCTAACAGGATTTTTGGCTAACAGGATTTTTTGAGTAACAGGATTTTTTGGTCTAATAGGATTTTTTGGTAACAGGATTTTTTGGGTAACAGGATTTTTTTGGCTAACAGGATTTTTTTGGCTAACAGGATTTTTTTGGCTAACAGGATTTTTTGGGTAACAGGATTTTTTTGGCTAACAGGATTTTTTTGGCTAACAGGATTTTTTGGCTAACAGGATTTTTTGGCTAACAGGATTTTTTGGCTAACAGGATTTCTTGGGTAACAGGATTTCTTGGCTAACAGGATTTTTGGCTAACAGGATTTTTTGAGTAACAGGATTTTTTGGCTAATAGGATTTTTTTTGGTAACAGGATTTTTTGGGTAACAGGATTTTTTTGGCTAACAGGATTTTTTGGGCTAACAGGATTTTTTGGCTAACTGGATTTTTTGGCTAACAGGATTTTTTGGCTAACAGGATTTTTTCTCTCTAATAATCGGTCTTGGCGTCGGTCCTGAAAAGTCTCGGCCCTCCCTGGTTTCTTCTTCTTTTCTCACATAAATTCAGATGAATGAATATGAATCACACGAAGTTCCTTTTTAACGTTTTTATAAAGTTTGGTCGAGTTTCCTGTTGCTGAGTTTTAGCAAAGATTAGCTGCAGTTACGATGAAGGTACACACAGACGGTATTTAGTTCACAGCATGTCACCTCATGTATATTTTTAATCCACACGTATTTATTTATTCATTATTAAACTCTATTACTGCATTAAAATGATGCCTGATAGTGTATTGATGATATTTGGTTAATAAACAGGTGAATTCATGTGTTCATTTAAACTGATCCGAACTAGTTAAAGAACTCTGAGCTCAGATTTTCATCTTGATAAAAACAAGAAAGTGTAAAGTTTTTATAAATATTATCATTTAAAAGGGTAAAACTATTCTGTAACAGAAAGTGTTTTAATATAGTTCTTCTTGTTTCCTCTTGTGTTCAGACTGAAGTTTAAAGGAACCGTCTTAAAATAAAAACATCAGAGTCAGTGAGCAGAAATCAACCCCGGGGACGCCACGGCGATTATTGGTGATCAAGGAAACCGATCAACGATATTTAGAACTGTGATTCACTTCCACTGTGATAAAGAGACCTTAAACTGCTGTATGATAACACTCTCTCTCTCTCTCTTTCACTGTAGAGCTGCACCTACAGCTTGAGTGTTGATTGGCTGTCTGTGTAGCCAATCAGTGGGGCCTGTAGGCGGGACTTTGTTACACAGTGAAGAGCGGAGACTTCAGGAGCAGAGAGCCGAAGGAGCGCGTCTGAAAATACGGACGATTATCCTTAATGTGTGTGTGTGTGTGTGTGTGTGTAGTTACCTGCAGGTGTGTGTTGCTGCTGTGTGCTGGGCTCCATCACAGCCTCCTCCACCACACTGATGCTGTGACTGTGCATCACCTCCTGCAGCATGTTAAAGATCTCCTCAGCACGGGGACACTTGAAGGCAAAGATACCTGCAACACACACACACACACACACACACACACACACACACACACACACACACACACACACACACACACAGGTCCACCTTTAATCCACCTGGTCTACAGCCTGTACACCTGGTCTTGTTCAGTAAAGATGCTGATCCCTTTGTCCCAGAAGACCAGGATGACTCTGAGACCTGATCTCTGGAGCTGTGAAGGTCTCTTCTGATCCAAACCCTCCATCATGGTCCCTGAGAAACTGCCAATCACGGGCCTAAAGACCTGTCACCCTGACAACTGGACCTGGTTCTGTCCCTGGTTCTGCCCCTGGTACTGTTCCTGGTACTGGTTCTGGTTCAGTCCCCCACATTCAGGGTCAAACAGCTGGTTTTGTGAGTCCACTCTAACTCATCTACATCTATAATAATCTGATTACTAATCTAATCTGCTTCTTATCCTTCAGTCACATGACTCGTGTCAACAGACCAGCTGAGTCATGGAGAGAGAGAGAGCAGTGACTCAGCACTTTACTAACACCTGAGCTTCACCGCTGTGTGTGTGTGTGTGTGTGTGTGTGTGTGTGTGTGGGCGTACCCTGTCCCGTCTGGCAGCGCCGGCCGCTCTCAAACGAGAAGAGGTTGGAGTCGTAGCCATAGCGACGCAGGCACAGGTAAGGCCACCTGACATCATCCCGGCGGTGTGTGTGGAGGACGAGCTCGGCGTCAGTCAGCTCCATCACACCTGAACCCAACTCGTTCCCATCGTCGTCCACATTGATCACCTGGACAGGTAAGAAGAGTCGGTCAGTCCGTTCACCTGCCGAGTTTATTTCAGAACCGGCGAGGTTTGGATCAGAACAGCTGACCTTAAATTTACTCTGATGATTATCTGGGATTGACTCTTTCTCTGGACAGCTTAAACAGCTACCCATGGCTTCTTCACAGCACCATCTGATGTCTGAAACACACACACACACACGCACACACACACACACACACACACACACACAGAGTCAGCATTTGATTTCCACTTCTTTGTTGTTGAAAGGACAGTTGGACTTACTTGGGACATTTGGCGAAACGTCTCATGAAGTCCAGCTGTCCTTTCCAAAACAGAGTTACCCCCCGACCTCCACCTTCATCCTGATCGTCGACTAAAAGGTCGTATCCGTCGATCGTAGCTGATCGTAACCATTCAAGTTAACGGAGACAACTCGTTATCGCGTGATTGAACGTGAATCTGCGGGTTCTTGTGAGATCTCACGATTACAGCGTCTGTAATCCTCCACTAAATTCCCCTCACAGACAGATCCAGGTACGGTGGACGGTGAAAATTTTAGCGGTTCTGGAAATTGTGGGTCAGAGTTGAAGGTTTTTGATGATAAAGGGTGAAAATGTCTCTAATGTTGAGGTCCAGAGCTGCAGGTGAACTCTGAAGTTAGAGACGACTTTACACGGCTCATTGTGACCATGAAGATCATGTGTTATAGGATGGTGATGAGCTGCTGTGTGTCTCACATGCGTCAGTGTGTGTGTGTGTGAGTGTGTGTGTGCGGTACCTAGATCCTGCCTCCTGTAGCCCTGCTCCCATCCTCAGAGCCTGACGGACTCTCATGCTTCTTTAGTGAGTCTGTGAACATGAACAGCAGCTCTGCAAACACACACAGGTCAGAGGTCAGAGGTCAGAGGTGTGGTTGTGTGCGGTTGTTTTTGTGTTATGATTGTGTTATAAAGTGGATGATCACTGACAGCCTCAGTCGGACAGGTCGTACAGGAGTGCAGCTTAAACAGCTCAGTCCGGTCTCTTACTGCGGCGTGTTCGAGCTCATCTTTGTGTTCAGTTAAAGAACAAAAGGACAAACTAGTTAAACTCAAGTTAACCTTTAACCTTTGACTGATTTAATCTAGTTAACAGATAATCTGGGCAGAAGAACACGTCAACACAAATATAAACACTTCATGTAAAACCGACTCTAAATGAAAACAGTTCAGATGTAACAGTGAGAGCGAACCTCAGCCAACTACCAAGACTAGTAAGTCTAAACTAACTAACGCTAACAAATACTAACTAACTGTAACTAACACTAAATAACTATAACTAACACTAACACTAACTCTCGTTAACCCTAACCCTAACTAACCCTAACTAACACTAACTAACTGTAACTAACACTAAATAACTATAACTAACACTAAATAACCCTAACTAACACTAACTAACTGTAACTAACACTAACTAACCCTAACTAACACTAACTAACACTAACCATAACTTACAATTACACAGACTAACCCCTAACTTACCCTAACTAACACTAACTCTCGTTAACCCTAACACTAACTAACCCTAACACTAACTGTAACTAACACTAACCCTAACCATAACTAACTCTAACTAACACTAACACAGCTGAACTCTAACTAACCCTAACTAACACTAACTAACTATAACTAACACTAACCATAACCAACTCTAACTAACCCTAACACTAACACAGCTGAGCTCTAACTAACCCGAACTCCCCAGACCAGAGCAGCGGCTGGTTGACTCAAACTAACCCAGACTGGTTAACGTTAAGTTAGTGTGTAAGTTAGTCTCAGGGGTGTGTCTGTATGTGTCAGCACCGAGCAGGGGCGTGTCCACAGCACAGATCAGGGGGGCTCTGATTGGCCACCTTGAGGTCCAGGTGAATTCAGGATTACAGATCATCTCAGGTTAATCTAATCAGGATTAAAAGTCTGTGATGTTAGAGCTGGATTAAGATATTTGGGTCAGGAGTGGTTATAATATTTCAGTGTTGATGAAAACCATAATAATCTGAATATTTACATTAACGGTGTTTCAGACGAGCCGATGGTGAGGCTCTGTAACCAGGTGGTCCATAAACAGAGGCTGATCAATAAATATCAATAAATTAATATAGTTCCTGGATCATCCTGGTTCAGATTAAACCTTTAATAATCAAACTGTGATTGGCTGTTTATCTTCTCAGAGGCGGGTCTAAAGCTAAAATCACAGACTGAGACTGTATTTCAGGCTGTGTCTGTTTGAGTTTGAGTCCAGCACTTTGTCTTTGAGATTTTAAACACTACAAACTGAAACTAACTGACGACATTAAATTAGAAATTTATGTTTTCAAACTGAATTGATCTGTTCTGAAACTGTGTTGAACCTACATGAACGTTTATCTCTCTGTTCTCCGTTAATTTTAAAAGTAAAAACTTTAATTTCAGTTTGGTGTGACACCACCACGGTGTCTTCTACGTCTGAGAGGAAGAGTAATCCAACATGGATCCACACCGCTCCTTTCCACCTCTGACAAAACTCCTTAATGGTCCCAGACTTCACGATGGGCGGCTGGACGGTAATCATGATTATTAAAGCGACCTCCTATAAAGACCACGAAGGAGCGTCATCAGACGACGATGTTACCGTTCCACTGCCCTCCTCCATCAAGAGATGATTCGGAGCATCTCCATCATTTATGCCGCTCAATCATACTCAAACTGGCCCACGTGTTCTGAGCACGCTCCACAGTTCACACGCCGTTAAGACGAATTTTTCCTACTTTAGAACAAACAACGCAGAGCGCTAAAAGTGACGGTGTTTTCAGCGTTTATGCTCCCTTACCCCGACCTCCACCTTCATCCTGATCGTCTCCTAAAAGGTCGTATCCTCCGATCGTAGCTGATCGTAACCATTCAAGTTAACGTGTCAATTTACACCGACTTCTTTCCGTTCCTCTGCGGATCGCCGGACTCCTCAGCTGATCACAAGAGTTCTAGTTTTTCTGGACGCCGGAGCATGGCGGATAAATTCAGCACAGATGAACCCGTGCTGGAAAGGAAGTCGGGCACAGACACAAAATAAAACATCCGGCTTCTTTTCAAAATAAAACACAAACGACAAACAAGTGAAAGGTTTTTAGACGCCATTTCACCCCGATGACACCATGGATGAGGAGATGCTGATTCTAGAAGTCTAGAAGTAGATTTCCTCCTCTGGAAGGACACAATCTACTGCTTATATGTCTATGTGTCTGTCTTTAGAGAGACAACTCGTTATCGTACGATTAAACGTGAATCTGCGGGTTCTTGCGAGTTCTCGCGGTTCCTGCTGTCCCTAATCCGCCATGAAATTCGCCTCACAAACGGATCTGGTAGGAAATGACAGACGACCAAAATCGCCGCCGTTCCAGATTGGAGCCGGTTTGGAAATTGGGGGTTAGAGTTGAAGGTTTTCGATGATACAGGGTGAACATGTCTGATATATGTCTGGTTGTCGTTCATGTTAAACGTCGTCCTGATTGGCCCGCATGTTTCCTGAACCTTCATGTCGTCAAACTCCGATCATCAATAACAGGAACATCACTAACGACAGTAAATCCTCCTGATCAGAGACGCTGAAAAACCCCGACAGAGAACTTTAAACCTGTTATAGATGTTTGTTTTTAACGGTTTAGGTTTCTACATCTAAAGGTCTGGTCAGGGGGGGGGGTCTTACTGAACAGGGTCAGATCATGGGTCAGTCCTGGACTGCTGTAGGTCTCTGTCCTGAACTTCACAGAACCTGAACCTGGTCTTCCAGAACCGAACCCTCAGGTCTGTGAGAAGGTGGGCAGACAGGAAGGGTAAATGTGGACCTGAGAGCCCCCCCCAGTCCCTGAAGAGTGAAGGGCCGCCCCTGCTCTCTGCCCCCCTTTAGAGTCTCTCTGGTCCCGGACTCACTCTGGACTCTCTGGTTCTGGTCTCTCTGGACTCTCCTGTGTGTGTGTAATGGCAGCTGGTTAGCCTGAAGCTAAGCTAATCTGTCTGAATAAGCTAACTGTGATTGAGGCTAACTCGTTAGCTCCCATGCTAACTCTCTCTCTGTGTGTGAATCACGGAGCGGCTCAAACCCGGGTCCATACTCACTGAACCGGGTCCGTGCTGTGATGATGAAGTTCGGCCTGGAACCTCCACCCCCGGGTGGGTGAAGCAGCTCAGATTGAGAGTCGGTAAAGTGTCAGTTAGCTCCCGTTAGCCTCCGCTGCTACACCCGCACAGCCTCCATCTTTCCTCTGCGCCGCCAGAGCGCCAAAAAAAAACAATCACAACTTCTTTCAGACGGCTTTAACGCTCCTGTTCGCGGCGGACAAACGCAGAAAAACGGCTTAAATCCATGGGTGGGCCCCCGGGGGTCACTGTGTGGACAGAAGTTCGGTCCAAACGCACTTTTTCGTCCCTGAAAACGAACTTTTTGAGCTCGGACCGTCTCTCCTGCTGCTAGCTGCGGGGCTAAATCACTGCAACAACTTAGCTAAACTTCAGCTCGAGTTCAGCCTCAATGTGCCTGAGAGGAGACACTCTGCGCATGCGCGGGGCCGTGTGGTTTGGGATAGCCGGGGCCTCTCCCAGCGGAGCCGAAATGACAGAGAGTCTCTGAAATATACACGATCAAGAGTTTTATTCCAACATTATCATCATCATCATCATCATAACACTTCTACAGGAGGACAAACACACACTGATATTTACACACACACACACACACACACACGCACACACACACACACACACACAGCTGCAGACATTCCTGTACTCTGACTGTCAGTCATGTTGGAGCAGGTCAGCCTGCAGGATGGATGAACAACCACAGATTTCAGTGTCAGAGAGAACAGGTCAAACTTACACAATCAGACTCAAAAACACTCACAACCACATGTTTGTACAACACAGCCGCTCTGAAACACTCCGACCAACAACAGAGACACACACAGATTTACAGGATCTCATTCACTCCTCTAACTCCTGAAAACAGCTCCTCTCATTGGCTGACAGGGGACATGTGGTGTATCGGCGTTTTAGCAGACTGAACTCTGTCCACCTCCTGAGCTTGTTTGACACGTTCTCAGCTCTGAATGAGGCTGTACTGACCAACACACATCAGACTACACTGGACTGATGTTTCCTCACACAGACGAGGAGTTGTTGGTCTACCTGCCAGACTTTTCCGGATCTTTGAACATGAAGCTATGAGTGAATGAGAGTGATGGATCTGACAAATACAGACAGATCCTGATAATCAATCATGTTTATCAATCCAATCAGCATGAACCACAGAGTCACTGTGATGAAGCTGTCTGATGGTACCATCATCATCATCATCATCATCATCATCATCATCATCATCATCATCATCATCATCATCTGATCTCAGGTCAGTCTTTCAGCCTCACAGAGAGAAAACTTTAGTCTGACAAACACTGAATCCTAAAAACAACATAAACTTTAGTCTCAGCTTTTATAGAGATAAACACACACACACACACACACACACACACTCACACACACACACACACACACGCACACACACACACACACACAGTGAGAGCTCTATTTACAGTCAGTTGTATGATTTAGATTTGATACATAAATAATCTTGATATCATCTTCGATAGTTTAGACGTCGATATAAAAATAGATCTCCATGTTTCCTGAAGTGGTCAGTAAATCTTTACCGTCTGCTGCTCAGCACGTCTGTAAACAAAGATATTAAATCTGATTATCAAACAGTCCCGATCAATCACACCGAGCTGCAGCTGAAGGACCATCACTCACCTCTCTGACAGCTGAAGTTCACGTTCTCATAGACGGGACACTGGAGGAGCTCCTGCTCACTGCGAAGCTTCCTCGCTCTGAGGACGTCACGAACGCACTGATGGAGGTACGCATACTGACCCTGGAGAGAAGAGGAGGAGGAGCTACGTCAGACTGACCCTGAAGAAGAGGAGGAGCTACGTCAGACTGACCCTGAGGAAGAGGAGGAGGAGCTACATCAGACTGACCCTGAAGAAGAGGAGGAGCTACGTCAGACTGACCCTGAAGAAGAGGAGGAGCTACGTCACACTGACCCTGAAGAAGAGGAGGAGCTACGTCAGACTGACCCTGAAGAAGAGGAGGAGGAGGAGCAACGTCAGACTGACCCTGGAGAGAAGAGGAGGAGCTACGTCAGACTGACCCTGAAGAAGAGGAGGAGCAACGTCAGACTGACTCTGAAGAAGAGGAGGAGCTACGTCAGACTGACCCTGAAGAAGAGGAGGAGCTACGTCAGACTGACCCTGAAGAGGAGGAGGAGCTACGTCAGACTGACCCTGGAGAAGAGGAGGAGCTACGTCAGACTGACTCTGAAGAAGAGGAGGAGCTACGTCAGACTGACCCTGAAGAAGAGGAGGAGCTACGTCAGACTGACCCTGAGGAAGAGGAGGAGCTACGTCAGACTGACCCTGAAGAAGAGGAGGAGCTACGTCAGACTGACCCTGAAGAAGAGGAGGAGCTACGTCAGACTGACCCTGAAGAAGAGGAGCTACGTCAGACTGACCCTGAAGAAGAGGAGGAGCTACGTCAGACTGACCCTGAGGAAGAGGAGGAGCTACATCAGACTGACCCTGAAGAAGAGGAGGAGCTACGTCAGACTGACCCTAAAGAAGAGGAGGAGCTACGTCAGACTGACCCTGAGGAAGAGGAGGAGCTACATCAGACTGACCCTGAAGAAGAGGAGGAGCTACATCAGACTGACCCTGAAGAAGAGGAGGAGGAGCTACATCAGACTGACCCTGGAGAGAAGAGGAGGAGCAACGTCAGACTGACCCTGAAGAAGAGGAGGAGGAGCTACGTCAGACTGACCCTGAGGAAGAGGAGGAGCTACATCAGACTGACCCTGAAGAAGAGGAGGAGCTACGTCAGACTGACCCTGAGGAAGAGGAGGAGCTACATCAGACTGACCCTGAAGAAGAGGAGGAGCTACGTCAGACTGACCCTGAGGAAGAGGAGGAGCTACATCAGACTGACCCTGAAGAAGAGGAGGAGCTACGTCAGACTGACCCTGAAGAAGAGGAGGAGCTACGTCAGACTGACCCTGAGGAAGAGGAGGAGCTACATCAGACTGACCCTGAAGAAGAGGAGGAGCTACGTCAGACTGACCCTGAGGAAGAGGAGGAGCTACGTCAGACTGACCCTGAAGAAGAGGAGGAGGAGCAACGTCAGACTGACCCTGAGGAAGAGGAGGAGCTACGTCAGACTGACCCTGAAGAGAAGAGGAGGAGCTACATCAGACTGACCCTGAGGAAGAGGAGGAGGAGCTACATCAGACTGACCCTGAAGAAGAGGAGGAGGAGCTACGTCAGACTGACCCTGAAGAAGAGGAGGAGCTACGTCAGACTGACCCTGAAGAAGAGGAGGAGCTACGTCAGACTGACCCTGAAGAAGAGGAGGAGGAGCTACGTCAGACTGACCCTGGAGAGAAGAGGAGGAGGAGCTACGTCAGACTGACCCTGAAGAGAAGAGGAGGAGCTACATCAGACTGACCCTGAAGAAGAGGAGGAGGAGCTACGTCAGACTGACCCTGAAGAAGAGGAGGAGCTACGTCAGACTGACCCTGGAGAGAAGAGGAGGAGGAGCAACGTCAGACTGACCCTGAAGAAGAGGAGGAGCTACGTCAGACTGACCCTGAAGAAGAGGAGGAGCTACGTCAGACTGACCCTGAAGAAGAGGAGGAGCTACGTCAGACTGACCCTGAAGAAGAGGAGGAGCTACGTCAGACTGACCCTGAAGAAGAGGAGGAGGAGCTACGTCAGACTGACCCTGGAGAGAAGAGGAGGAGCTACGTCAGACTGACCCTGAAGAAGAGGAGGAGCTACGTCAGACTGACCCTGAAGAAGAGGAGGAGGAGCTACGTCAGACTGACCCTGAAGAAGAGGAGGAGCTACGTCAGACTGACCCTGAAGAAGAGGAGGAGCTACGTCAGACTGACCCTGAAGAAGAGGAGGAGCCAAGTCAGACTGACCCTGAAGAAGAGGAGGAGCTACGTCAGACTGACCCTGAAGAGGAGGAGGAGCTACGTCAGACTGACCCTGAGGAAGAGGAGGAGCTACGTCAGACTGACCCTGAAGAAGAGGAGGAGCTACATCAGACTGACCCTGAAGAGGAGGAGGAGCTATGTCAGACTGACTCTGAAGAAGAGGAGGAGCTACATCAGACTGACCCTGAGGAAGAGGAGGAGCTACGTCAGACTGACCCTGAAGAAGAGGAGGAGCTACGTCAGACTGACTCTGAAGAAGAGGAGGAGCTACGTCAGACTGACTCTGAAGAAGAGGAGGAGCTACGTCAGACTGACCCTGGAGAGAAGAGGAGGAGGAGCTACGTCAGACTGACCCTGAAGAAGAGGAGGAGCTACAACAGACTGACCCTGGAGAGAAGAGGAGGAGCTACATCAGACTGACCCTGAAGAAGAGGAGGAGCTACGTCAGACTGACCCTGAAGAGAAGGAGGAGCTATGTCAGACTGACCCTGAAGAGGAGGAGGAGCTATGTCAGACTGACTCTGAAGAAGAGGAGGAGCTACGTCAGACTGACTCTGAAGAAGAGGAGGAGGAGGAGCTACATCAGACTGACCCTGAAGAAGAGGAGGAGCTACGTCAGACTGACCCTGAAGAATAGGAGGAGGTACGTCAGACTGACCCTGAAGAAGAGGAGGAGCTATGTCAGACTGACTCTGAAGAAGAGGAGGAGCTACGTCAGACTGACTCTGAGGAAGAGGAGGAGCTACGTCAGACTGACTCTGAAGAAGAGGAGGAGCTACATCAGACTGACCCTGGAGAGAAGAGGAGGAGCTACGTCAGACTGACCCTGAAGAAGAGGAGGAGCTACATCAGACTGACCCTGAGGAAGAGGAGGAGCTACATCAGACTGACCCTGAAGAAGAGGAGGAGCTACGTCAGACTGACTCTGAAGAAGAGGAGGAGCTACGTCAGACTGACCCTGAAGAAGAGGAGGAGCTACGTCAGACTGACCCTGAGGAAGAGGAGGAGCTATGTCAGACTGACCCTGAAGAAGAGGAGGAGCTACGTCAGACTGACTCTGAAGAAGAGGAGGAGCTACGTCAGACTGACCCTGAAGAAGAGGAGGAGCTACATCAGACTGACCCTGGAGAGAAGAGGAGGAGCTACATCAGACTGACCCTGAAGAAGAGGAGGAGCTACGTCAGACTGACCCTGAAGAAGAGGAGGAGCTACGTCAGACTGACCCTGAAGAAGAGGAGGAGGAGCTACATCAGACTGACCCTGAAGAAGAGGAGGAGCTACATCAGACTGACCCTGGAGAGGAGGAGGAGCTATGTCAGACTGACCCTGAAGAGGAGGAGGAGCTACGTCAGACTGACCCTGAAGAAGAGGAGGAGCTACGTCAGACTGACCCTGAAGAAGAGGAGGAGCTACGTCAGACTGACCCTGAAGAAGAGTGCGGTCTGTTCCTGTAGGCGGAGCTTCCACTCGGTCACCTGACCTCGTTGTTCAGGTGGATTTCACATGAACTCGTCTTCATCCCAGAGAATCAGACTCAATGAAAAATGTTCTACTTAAATTCACACTACATTTCCCATGATGCCCTGCAGCCCTACCTCTGTCTGCACCATGTGAGAGCGATGGAGTCTCAGGTCAAAGACTGAACTGTAGATATCCACCGAGTCCTTCAGGTCCAGCTGCTGCAGGACCCGATCCAGGACTATGAAGGTCCCCGTACGGCCCACACCAGCACTGTGACACACACACACACACACACACACACACACACACACACACACAGATCACACACACACACACACACACAGCGGTCAGACTCTTATTTACAGCTAACCCGATACAGAGAGTGACTCATGGTGTGTGTGTGTGTGTGTGTGTGTGTGTGTGTGTGGTTACCTGCAGTGGACCACGGTGGGTCCAGATCCAGGACTCCTGTTGATGTAGTCCCTCACAGTCCGGACAAACTGGATCAGGGACTGGGTGGTTTCTGGGACCCCGTGATCCGGCCAGACAGTGTAGTGGAACTGACGGACGAGCCGACAGAGACCGAGCTGGTCCTCCTGGAGACAGACAGAGAGGAGGACAGACAGACAGGAGGACAGACAAGAGGACAGACAGACAGGAGGACAGACAGACAGGTGGACAGACAGACAGACAGACAGACAGACAGGTATATGATATCAATCCCCCACATCATCATCATCTCGTTGATAAACTTTGATCAGTTTTCTCACGAACGTTCGTCTCTTGTGTTTGTTAACGAGTTCCTCCCTCAGCAGGTTCTTTGGTTCTGAGTGGACAGGACTCATCATAAGTATTGGTCTAAGCAGATCGCCCCCCCCCCCCCTTTTTATTGATTGATTGATTTTTTTATTATTATAATTATTATTAAAGTGTGTATTTAGTTTTGTGTGTGAGGTTGTCTGCTCTGTTTTCACTGTCTCAAAATAAATAATTAAAAAGAAGTTTAAAAAAATGATCATGTGTAAAAATCTGTGTTATAATCTGTGTTATAATCTGTGTTATAATCTGTGTTCTGTTACAATCTGTGTTATAATCTGTGTTATAATCTGTGTTCTGTTATAATCTGTGTTATAATCTGTGTTCTGTTATAATCTGTGTTATAATCTGTGTTATAATCTGTGTTCTGTTACAATCTGTGTTATAATCTGTGTTATAATCTGTGTTCTGTTATAATCTGTGTTATAATCTGTGTTCTGTTATAATCTGTGTTATAATCTGTGTTATAATCTGTGTTCTGTTACAATCTGTGTTATAATCTGTGTTATAATCTGTGTTCTGTTATAATCTGTGTTATAATCTGTGTTCTGTTATAATCTGTGTTATAATCTGTGTTCTGTTATAATCTGTGTTATAATCTGTGTTCTGTTATAATCTGTGTTATAATCTGTGTTATAATCTGTGTTCTGTTATAATCTGTGTTATAATCTGTGTTCTGTTATAATCTGTGTTATAATCTGTGTTATAATCAGTGTTCTGTTATAATCTGTGTTATAATCTGTGTTCTGTTATAATCTGTGTTATAATCTGTGTTCTGTTATAATCTGTGTTATAATCTGTGTTCTGTTATAATCTGTGTTATAATCTGTGTTATAATCTGTGTTCTGTTACAATCTGTGTTATAATCTGTGTTCTGTTATAATCTGTGTTATAATCTGTGTTCTGTTATAATCTGTGTTATAATCTGTGTTCTGTTATAATCTGTGTTATAATCTGTGTTATAATCTGTGTTCTGTTATAATCTGTGTTATAATCTGTGTTATAATCTGTGTTCTGTTATAATCTGTGTTATAATCTGTGTTCTGTTATAATCTGTGTTATAATCTGTGTTATAATCAGTGTTCTGTTATAATCTGTGTTATAATCTGTGTTCTGTTATAATCTGTGTTATAATCTGTGTTATAATCTGTGTTCTGTTATAATCTGTGTTATAATCTGTGTTCTGTTATAATCTGTGTTATAATCTGTGTTCTGTTATAATCTGTGTTATAATCTGTGTTATAATCTGTGTTGTAATCTGTGTTATAATCTGTGTTATAATCTGTGTTATAATCTGTGTTTTGTTATAATCTGTGTTCTGTTGTAATCCGCCCTCTGCTGTGTACTTATATGTGTGTGTTTTGTGTAGTTAT